GACTCTGGCCCCCTCTTGCTCTCTTGTTTGCTCTCCCTTCCTAGTGCCATGCCCTTGGACTTCCCAGCCTCCAGAACCTGGAGTCAAACATATTTCTGTTCATTTTAAATTATCAAGTCTGTGCTATTCTGTTATAGCAACAGAAAATGGACTAAAACACTGTTGCATGTATTGGTAGTTCACTCAAAGGAACGAATTTCTGATTGCAAGATTTCAGATATGGTAATCCCCAGGAGAGGAAAGCACACTTTTTATTATTATTGTTATGAATAGGACCTTCCCAGGCTGCTTGAGTTGTTCTGATCCTGGTCCCACTTCAAAGCAGGGGAGGCTGAGTGATGTCACGCTGAACTGGGCCCCAAATGGGCTCCAAGCACAAGAAGTTGTTGGAGGGACTGAGTCACTCCCAGCCCAAGCGAGTGATGGAAAGGGCAGGTTAGTTGTGGAACCTGGTCTCATGGAAGGGTTCTCCCTCCCAGACTGAATTTCCTTCTTTGCTGAATACAGAGGACTGCCCTGCATGGCTTTCTTCATTAGAGAAAGCTATGAGAAGCTTTGAGCTCCTCCAAGTAAACTGTTTCGTACTCTCAAACAGGCTGTTAATGATGATGATTAATAATAAATTAAGCAAAAGAAGGCCAGGTGCGGTGGTGGCTCATGCCTGTAATCCCAGCACTTTGGGAGGCCGAGGCAGGTGGATCACTTGAGGTCAGGAGTTCGAGACCAGCCTGACCAACATGGTGAAACCCCATGTCTACTAAAAATACAAAAATAAATAAATAAATAAATAAATAAATAAATAATTAGCCAGGCGTAGTGGCGCACGCCTGTAATCCCAGCTACTCAGGAAGCTGAGGCAGGGGAATCACTTGAACCCGGGGTGGAGGTTGCAGTGAGCCAAGATTGTGCCACTGTACTCCAGCCTGGGCAACAAGAGTGAAACTCCATCTCAAAAAGTATATATAATAATAATAATAATAATAAATTAAGCGAAAGGAAAGGATGAAGGTAGCATGCTGTGGTTGACAGAATAATTTTACATCCTAGAAAATAGATTAAATGAAATTACACTTTTCAATGTAAAAACGTTGTGTTTCCTAGGAAAAAGGCAGATGTGTCCTAACCGCTCCTGACTGCACACATACGCAATTTACAATTGTGCTTTCTGAGCAGATTTGGAGCTCTCCTGGGGCTTAGCTGACCTGGGTCTGGGTCTGGTCTCAGCACTCCTGCTAAACCCTCCTAGGGAAGGTGCTCAGGTTGACAGCTCTCTGGGCCTCGGCTTCCATGTCTGTAAACAAGATGCTTGGAGCACAAGTTCTCAAGTTACCTGGTGGCTCTTTATATTTTTAACCCTTTAAATCTTCAGATTTTTAGGGTTTTAACCCCATTGGTATAGCTTGGCCCTGAAGAGAGCAAGCGCACATTGCTGTGTGACAGACAGACCACTAAGGGGCGCTGCTTCCTCAGAGGAGGCGGGAGTTCGCTGCCTCCTCCCCGTTGTCTCTGAAGAAATGTCCACACTCATCAAAAGTGGTTGCGATAAAATGTTGAGGTTTGGAATGATGAGAAACACGGAAGCCAAATCATAGGACCTGATAGATATGTGGCCAACATAGGAACAGTGGAATATGTGATCTTTGTGACCATCCCCTCCCCAAGGCCAGATCGAACACCAACCCCTTGGCATACACTGACGTGAATTGCTTAATGATAGGAGGAAATACATTCTGAAAAATTTGTCATTAGGCGATTTTGTCTTTGTGCAAACATCACAGAGTGTACTTACGCAACCCTAGGGGGTACAGCTTACTACACTCCTAGGGTATATGGGATAGCCAGTTGCTCCTACGATACAGAGTTGTATAGCATATTCAGACTGTTCTGAATACCGCAGGCATTTGTAACACAGTGGTAAGTATTTGCGTATCTAAACATCGCTAAACATAGAAAAGATACAGTTAAAAAAAAAAAAAAAAAAGATAAAGCCGGGCGCAGTGGCTCATGCCTGTAATCCCAGCACTTTGGGAGGCCGAGGCAGGCAGGTCATGAGGTCAGGGATCGAGACCATCCTGGCCAATACGGTGAAACTTTGTCTCTACTGAAAATACTAAAAATTAGCCGGGTGTGGTGGCGGGGGCCTGTGGTCCCAGCTACTCCGGAGGCTGAGGCAGGAGAATGGCGTGAACCCAGGAGGCAGAGCTTGCAGCGAGCTGAGATCGCGTCAGTGCACTCCAACCTGGGCGACCGAGCCAGACTCCGTCTCAAAATAAAAAAGATAGACCGGTTTAGGGAGGGCATTTACCATGAAGGAAGCTTGCAGGACTGGAAGCTGCTTTGGCTGAGTCAGGCAGTGCGTGGTGAGTGAATGTACACTGTTCTCTACTGTGGGCTTTATAGACACCGCACACTTAGGCTACACTCAATGTATACACAAGATTTCTTTTTTCAACGATAAATTAGCCTGAGCTTACTGTAACTCTTTTACTTTCTAAATGGCTTTTAAGACATTTTTTGACTCTTGTTAATAACGCTTAGCTTAAAACACACTTTGTACAGCTGTTCCAAATTGTTTTCTTGTATTCTGTAAGCTTTTTTCTATTTTTGAAATTATTTATTTTTGTCTGTGTTGTAAACTTCTTTGTTAAAAACTAAGACACAAACATGCATATTAGCCTAGGCCCACACAGGGTCATGATCATCAATGTCAGTCCTCCACCTCCACATTTTGGCCCACTGGAAAGGTCTTCAGGGGCGTTAACAGACATGGAGCTGTCATCTCCTAGGATAACAATGCCTTCTTCTGGGTACTTCTTGAAGGACCTGACTGAGGATGTTTTACAGTTAGGCTTTTTTTTTTTTTTTTTTTGAGAGGGAGTCTTGCTTTGTCACCCAGGCTGGAGTGCAGTGGTGTGATCTCGGCTCACTACAACCTCCACCTCCTGGGTTCAAGTGATTCTCCTACCTCAGCCTCCCGAGTAACTGGGATTACAGGCACCCGCCACCATGCCCAGGCTAATTTTTATATTTTTTTTTAGTAGAGACAGGGTTTCACCATGTTGGCCAGTCTGGTCTCTAACTCCCCACCACAGGTCATCCGCCCACCTTGGCCTCCCAAAGTGCTGGGATAACAGGCATGAGCCACTACACCTAGACAGTTTTTTTAAAAATAAGTAAAAGTGCACCCTAAAATAACAATTAAAAGTATAATATAGTAAACATATAAGCCAGCACCACAGTGATTTATTATTATCAATTATTATGTACTGTACATAGTGACATGTGCTAGACTGTCATATGACTGGCAGCCTGTAGGTTGTTTACACCAGCATCACTACAAACACATGAATAATTTCTTGCACTACAATGTCACAACAGCTATGGTGTCAATAGCAGAGATAAATTTTTCAGCTCCATTATAACATTATGAGACCACCAAGTGATACGGGACAGCCGTCATATACCTGGACTATCTCGACTGAAATGTCATTATGCGTGACTATATTCCAAATCACTTTCCCACACGGCTGGATCAGTGTTTGTTTGATTGGTTAGTTGAATGGTTTCCCCATTTAATTTAACAAATACACCACAAAGAACTCTTCTTCAGTTCTATAAATTTAACTACTCGTTTCTGCATTTTTATTCATCTAAGTAATCATTACTAATACCTACTAAAATCACTCCGACTTTCCCACTTCATCAGACGGGCCTTCCCTAGCCACCCCCACTGGACTAGCACCTGAGCCTCCTTCACCTTCTGTCCTCCTCACCAGCTTTAGTTTTCTCTGTAGCACTCCGTCACCACCCGACTCCCACATTTCCTCATTTCTGTGTCTTTGTGTCTTGTCGGTCTCCTACCCTGGCATATAAGCAGCATGAAGACACAGACCGGCTACAGCATTCGCTGGGCCTCCCTAGAGCCTCAGCCTGTGCCTACTGGGACATGCTATGCTTCTTTCAATCTAAGTCTGCCCAGACTGGTAGGAGAGTGATTTGGTAAGAGAGTGCAAAAGCCAAGGGAAAAAAAAAAGAAAAAATAGCCTCTAGCCTTTGACTCAGTAATCACATTCTGGGAATGGATCCTAATGCAGTAATTCACATGAGCCCTGGGGATGGGATGGGCTGGAGGTGTTGCCTTCCCTCTCCCTGTGTGGGGTCTGAAGCCCTGAAGGACAAGGAGTCACTGTGCCCTCCTCCAAGATACCCTCCTCACAACGCAACATTTATTGTACAAGTACCATACCAGGGACTGTTCTGAGCCCATTCAGTCCTTTTACTCCTGTGGAGCTGTTTTTTTCTTTCTTTTTTTTTTTTAAACAGGTATCACTTTGTCACCCAGGCTGGAGGGCCGTGGCATGATCTCAGCTCAAATGCAGCCTTGACTTCCTGGGCTCAAGCAATCCTTCTGCCCCAGCCCCCCAAGTAGCTAGGACTACAAGCCCACACCACCATGCCTGGCTAATTTTTATATTTTTTGTAGAGACAGGGTTTTGCCATGTTGCCCAGGCTGGTCTCAAACTCCTGGACTCAGGCAACCCGCCCACCTTGGCCCCCCACAGTGCTGAGATTACAAGCGCGAGCACCCCACCCAACCTCTTAGGAGCATTTTGAGTGAGGCGCTTCGTACAGATGAAGCATGTGAAGGAAAAGGGAGTTCACATCAGTGAACTCCATCAGTGGAGCCAAGATTTGAACCCAGGTCCCCTGACTGCACAAGCATGCCCTGAACTCATTGTACGACTCTGCCTCTGCAGCAGTGCAGGACCTGAGTGGTGGAGGTGGCAGGGTGGGAGGTGTATCCAGACATACAGACATAAGGTACACCGCCATCATTTTGTTTCATCTGGGACAAGAGTCTACTGCTGTCCTGAAGTAGTCTCCTAGGTTTACATTTCAGTTCAACAAAAGTGCACCATTAAACCACTCAGTGCAAGCTTCAAATACTTTACTCATTTTCTCTTGGAAGTGAGGACATGGTGAGGCAGAGGTGTACTTACTGAGGCCTCCAGTGTGGGCCACTAATAATCGCTGGAGGAGTCAAGCTCCTTTTGGTTCTCCCGGCTAGGTCATTTACCGGCTCTGTGACGCTGGGAAAATCACTTCTCTGGGCCTGGGCTTTTTCATCTGTAACAATTAGCAGAAACCACACTGTACCCAATCAATAAATATTACTTTCAAAGGATAATTGTCATGGTGTAATTTACACTAGCAAAAAGCTGTAAACAACTGAATATCCAATAATGGAGAAATGACTCCATTGCACAATAATTTCAGACCAGAACTGTCTAAAACCATTAAAAATTACATTGAAAAATGAACACAAAATGTTATGGTAAAAAAAAAAAAAATCAGAGGCCAGGTGCAGTGGCTCACGTCTGTAACCCCAGCACTTTGGGAGGCAGAGGTGGGTGGATCACTTGAAACCAGGAGTTCGAGGCCAGCCCGGCCAGCATGGTGAAACCCTGTCTTTACTAAAAATACAAAAATTAGGCACGCATGGTAGTGCATGCCTGTAATCCCAGCTACTCGGGAGGCTGAGACAGACATGAGAATCGCCTGAACCTGGGAGGCGGAGGTTGCAGTGAGCCAAGATTGCGCCACGAAACTCCAGCTTGGGAGTCAGAGCTAGACTCTGTCTCCAAAAAAAAAAAAAAAAACTCAGGCATAACTACAATTTGGTTGAACAAATATTCTGAAGGAAATACCCAAACAGTAGCGTATTTATGGGTGATAAGACACCAGAGTGACAATTTCTTCCTTATATTTTTACATCTTTTCTGAATATTTCAAAAGAAGTTTGCTTTTCTTTGTAACAGACAAAGATTATTTACAAAGTTGGTCTCCTTTCATTTTCTACCTTATTGGTGAATGCTTTAGCAGGAGGGCGTAGGACTAGAAGTGGAAGGATGGGAGATGGGGAAAGCGGAAAGCCCAGTTTCACTAGCGTTTATTGAGCATCTGGTATATCCAGGCACTGTGTAGGGTGTGACAGCTGAGTGAAAGCTCAATAACCAGGCATTACTGTACAGAGAAGACAAGGGAATGTCATGTTCAAAGGCCCTGGGGTGTGAAATAGAAGGCTTATAGGAGCACAGAAAGTAAGGCCCAGGGGGAGAGGTGAGATGGGGTTCGGAGATGGGCAGGCTGGAAATGCCCCAGAGGCCCTGTCAGCTTAATCAAGGGATTCAGATTACATTTTGAGGACCCTGGAGCCACGGAGGATTTATTTTTTAATTTTTTTTTTTTTTTTTTTTTTGAGATGGAGTCTTGCTCACCGCCCAGGCTGGAGTGCAGTGGCGCGATCTCGGCTCACTGCAAGCTCCGCCTCCCGGGTTCACGCCATTCTCCTGTCTCAGCCTCCCGAGTAGCTGGAACTACAGGCTGAAATTTTATTTGGTGTATTAAGTTCTATACAATTTTATCACCTGTGTGGTTTTCTGTATCTCAAGATACTGAACAATTCCACCACCACAAAGATCCCTCCCCCTGCCTTTGATAACTACACCCCCTTCCTCTGACTCTTTCTTTCCTTCTACTGCCCACCAGAGCCAGGGACTAATCAGTGGGGAGGGTAAGTAGGAGGCAACGGGAGAGCCTGGGAGAGCTCACAGGGGTCAAGGTTTGGGGCCTGCCTGGTTAGCTATGGCCATGGGAATGTCCAGGTGAAAGTCCCTCTGGGGCCAATGGATTTAAATATCCGTGGCTTAGGAGAGAAGCCTGGGCTGGAGGTGAGATTTGGGAGGGTCTTGTCTAGTCAGGGGGTGGAGTAAGAGAGGACTGAGAAAGGAGCTGCCTTTCAGGTGACAGTCCGCTTCGGCACAGGGGTCCCTTGTTTTGCAGTTAGCTGCCTCCTTGGGCCTGGCAAAGCCCTGGTGTTGCTTAAGGAGCCCTCTCTGTGCAGAGGGCTCTCCCAGCATGCCCATCCCCCACCCAGGAGTCTCAGAGCCAGGCACAGGAGGTCCTTCTGCACAATGGCCCCCCGTTAGCTGTATCCTGTTCAGTCCCCAAGCACAGGGCTTGTTAATCCCAGCCCTGCCATTCCAGGAAGGACTCCAGAGGTCACGGAATCCAAAGCGTTGAATTTACAAAGAAGAAAATTAGTCCTCGGAGGAGAGGCTTGGCCAAGCCCATAGGTGTGATCTGCTGGCCGAAAGGGGGCTGTTTGTTTACTCGTTCAGGATCGGTTTTCCCCCTACAGGAAAAGGGAGGTGAAACCCAGGCGAGATGGATGCAAGTTTCTCAACACTTTAATTCGGCAGCTTTAATTGAGCGTGTACTATGTGCCAGGGAGGGCCAGGGTTTTCGGGATAGGAGGTGAACAAGGCACGGGCCCTAAGGCTGCTGGATAAGGGCATCGAAGGGTTAAATTCTGGGAGCGCTGCGTGGGGGAAGGGGTAGAGGAATCTCCCGAGGAAAGGCCCCCTTCCCGGCTTCTCAGGCTCCGGAAACCCGGGCGCGAGGAGCCTGGGAAGGGCTGCCCCGCAGGCCTTGGCTTCCCCCGCGGAGCTCCCTCTGGCGCTGGGAGGGGCCGCTCTCGAATTACAACAAAAGAGGCTGGAGGCCGGGCCTTCAGCGGCAGCCGCCTTCGGGGAAGGAGGTGGGTCCGGGGAGGGGTTTGCCATCCTCCTCTGGTTAAAAGTAAGGGGGAAAAGAGTAAACGCGCGACTCCTGCGCGCGGCTACCTGCAGTTGGTGCTTGCTTTCTCCAGCCATCGAAGACCTCAGCCGCTTCCTCTGCTGGGGAAAGGGGCTCCGTGGCGGCTGAAGCAGAGGGAGACCACCGTGGAGAGCGCGGTCCCAGCCGGGCCACTGCGGATCCCTGAAACCAAGTAAGAGCGCTTCCCGCGCCACCCCCTCCCCGAAGCGGTTCGCGAGAAAGCGGGAGCGTCCCTGTGGGGTCTCCAGGCTTCGCCCTGCGCGGGGCTGCCTCTCGAAAGTGCCTGGCGGTTCCCGAAGACTTCTTGTGGGGAGCAATGAGAGGACGTGCAGGCTAAAGGGTCCTCCTGCGGCCCCGGGCGGCCCCGCCCAGCTCCACCTCGTCTGGGCCGGGTGCGGCGCGGCTGCTGGCGCGCCCGGGGAGTGAGGCGCTGGATCCCTTGATCGTCCCGAGAGCCCGTAGTCAGGCGGGACACAGCCAGTCGAATCTCGGTGCGTGTTGGGCGTCTTGGAGAGTGCAGCGTGGCTCCAGGGACAGCGTCTTCCGAGTTCTGGCTTTGAGGAGTTGGGCACGCGGGGCGACGGGGCGTGGGACAGTGGGTGCCCTCGGGGCTGTGGTTTTGGGGATGTAGAGCGTGCTGGGCTGGGACGGAGTAGGGGCGGGAACACGGGGGCTGCGCCCGGGAGCTGTAGCGCCCACTGCCTGAACCCGGTTCAACCCCCAGCCTGCCCGAAAGGCTGTTGGGAGCGCGGGAGCGCCCTGAGTCCTGCGGGAGCAGAGGCGCGCTCGGCACGCCAGGTATGCACTCCCAAGTCTCCCTGGCTCTCCGGGGACCAGGGACCCTTTCCCGCCTCATACCGAGAAGCCCTGGAGTTGGAAAGAACGGGCACGAGCGAATCCACGGCTACAGCTGATCCTAATCTTGCGCCGTTGGTTCCGCGGTCCCCAGTGCCTACAACTTTTACGCAGGAGCTTTGCCCACCGCGTCGCTTCTCACCAACCCAGATCTGGAAGCCTTCCAGGTATAGCTGCCTGCCTGAAGTGTCCCAGGAATCAGCGCTGGAATAGAGATGATTGGGAGAAACAAGCGAGGTTCCCTCCTCTTCGTGCCCGGGCTAAGACCCATCAAAAAACTGCAGGAGTGCGGGGCGGAGCTAGGGTGAGAGGAAGAGAACACCGCAGAACTCGGCGAGGGAGGGGGCTGAACTACTCTATATGGTTAGGAAACTCCAAGCCCTGATGAGGGGGGAGATGTGCATGACAGAAACATGCTCCAAGTTAGTTTCGTCCCTAAGATCTTGAAACTGCGGAGATCTCAAAACCAGTACTTTTTTTTTTTTTTTTTTTTTTTACTCCCAGAGGAAGAAAAACGATGAGACTCAGGGCCACTGGGTTAGTCAGTGTGGGGACTGAAACCGTACCTCTTACTCCAGGTCCCTCCCCTACACCACCGCTAGCCTGTCTGTCCTGGAACCCCAAAACACCATTTGTCATCTTTGGTGGAATGAATTAGTTATTGATGGTGTATCGTGTACTTAATGGTCAGGGGTGGGGTTTAGGATGGAAGAGGAAGAGTTCATTTCCCTGGGCAGCTCCCAGGTAAGTGACTGACTCACTGCATCCTAACTTGACTAAATTTTTAATCTCTCTCCTCACCTTTGTCCCATTCCTCTTCCTGGTCCCTAACATCTGCCCTGGAATGGCCATCAGACCCATGACAAAATGCATGCGCCTCATGGGTCCCTGGTGGCTACCAGTGCTCTCCCCAAGAAAATTGAGTCACTAATCTGTGTGTGTGTGTATATGTGTGTGTGTGTGCGCGGGCACGTTTGTGTATGCATGTGTGCACGTGTATGTGTGCGCACATGTATGTGTGCGCGTGTGTGCCCACACGTGTGTTTGTGTATATATGGGCACTGGTGCGTGTTTATGTGCACACATGGGTGTATATGTGTGTGCAGGTGTGTGTATGTGCATGTGTGTGCTTATGTGTTCCTGTGTGCACACTTGTATGCGTATTTGTGTGCATGTTTGTGTGCATGTTTGCATGTGTGTGTGCGTGCACGTGTGTATTCCTGTGTGTATGTTTGCATGTTTATGTGTGTGCATATGCATTCCTGTATGCATGTGTGTGCACACCTGTATGTGTGTGTATGTGTATTGGTGTTTGTGTGCATGTTTGCATAGGTATGAGTTTGCATGCGTGTGTGCACTTGTGTGTATGAGTGCATATGTATGCATGTGTGTGTATGTATATGTGTGTGCATGCACGTGCATTTGCTTCCCTGTAAGTTTGTGTTAGAAAGTGACTTAGTCTAAGGTCACTTAGGCGTTGAGTGACAAAATTGAGTATGAAACTCAGGTCTGAAAAGGAAACATGTACTTGACATCACACATTGGCTGACATTTTAAGCATCACAGATAGGAGATTCTGCAAAGATGCTTCTATTTATTTTCTTTCCAACTGGGCTCCTTGCCTGGCCTCTCCTGGCCTCTTCCCAAGTCCTTGTCCTTTGACCTCTAGATGGCCAGTGTGGAAGGGCTTTGTGAAGGAAACAGATTTTCTGTGCTCTGGACATGACCATCAGCGAAGGTGTTGAGTCCCAGAAAACACTACATTGTTTACTTTTTATTCGAAAAAAATTTCAAGTATGCAGAAAGGTAGAGAGAAGGGTGTAATGATGCCTCATAAGCTTCTTACTGAGTTTCAACAGCGATTTTGCCACATGTATGTCATCTGTCCCTTTCTCTGTCATTGAAGTAGTTTAAAGCAAATCCCATACATCATGTCATTTCGTTGCTACGTATTTTAGTGTGATTTCTAAAGATATTAAATAACTATGATGTTATCTTTAGACCTAAGAAAACTAAAAAAAAAAAAAACTATTTGGTATCATCTAATGCCAGCTAGCAGTCTATATTTAAACATTTCCCAATTTTCCCCAAAATGTCTTTTTTTATAGTCGATCTGAGTTCTGTTGATTTGTGTAACTTGTTACATTCCTATTGTATGTTATTCCTTTCAAAGCACTTTTCTGTCCACGATGTCATTTGATTCTCACAAGGTCCCACTAAAGAGTTAGGTGGGTATTTTCAAATTCATTTCTCAGCTGAGGAAATGGGTAAACAGATAAGCTGTCCAGAGGGCACAGCTGGTGACCCAGGGAGCCAGGGTCTAACCCAGCCTCCCCAGCCTCCTCATGGCTGGGCTTTGGTGGTTCTGGTTCTCCAGGTTACTCATGGACTCTCAGCTGCTCTCTGAAGAGTTCTTCTTGGCTCAGGCTTCATCCTGGACTTATCACTTCCTATACACCTGCTGTCAGAAATCCCTGTGTAAATATTTAGTAATTGGACATTTGGTGCTTGAGATAAATGAACTGCGAAGTCAGGAAGCCAGGGTTTGTTTCCTAGCTCATTGCAAAACTGTAAGAGCTCAGAGCTGCCCTTTCTGAACTGGAGAGCAGTATACTTCCTCATTATTTGACTCCAAGGTATAAAAATAGGATGAGTGAATTGACTGTTGCTGGGATTCCTGGAAGAAACAAAGGCCCCAGAAAGAAATCTGGTAGAGGACAATCTCCCTTCTTTGAGCGTCACCTGAGTACTCTGACAGCTGGTACCTTCATGCTGAAGCCCTCAAATCATATGACAGAGAAGTGGGGGTATGTAGGCTTCCCATTGAAATCGTTAGTTTATGCACAACTTTATTCTGCATTTGACCAATGAAGATATGTAACACCTGATATGGCTTGGCTGTGTCCCCACCCAAATCTCATCTTGAATTGTAGCTGCCATAATTCCCATGTGTTGTAGGAAGGACCTGATGAAAGGTATTGAATCATGGGGATAGATCTTTCCCCAGTTGTTCCTGTGGTAGTGAGTAAATCTCATGAGATATGATGGTTTTATAAATAGGAGTCCCCCTGCACATGCTCTCTTGCCTGCCACCGTGTAAGATGTGCCTTTGCTCTTCCTTTGTCCTCTGCCATGATTGTGAGGCCTCCCCAGCCATGTGGCATTGTGAGTCCATTAAACCTCCTTCCTTTACAAAGTACCCAGTCTCAGGTATGTCTTTATTAGCAGCATGAGAACAGACTAATACAACACCAGAGCCTTCTGCTTTTAGCATTTTCATTACTTATGTTTATTTGCTTTTGAAATGCAGTGATGGAGAAATTTCTCCCCCTTGTTAATAAGACTCGTGAGTTGGAATTCTCCTTTCTTGGCAGGTCATGTGGGAAAAAGAATTCCCTTTTCACAGGATTCCTAGATGTTCTGCTGTTATGCTTGTTGCTTTGAAATAGGGAATGAACCGACCTTCCATAAAATAACCAGTTAGAGGCAGAGAAACTGGTCAACCCAATTCCATTCAACTGGAGGAACTGCAAAGTGGCAAGACATTAACCTTAAACCACCCTGCCTTCTGACGGTCATAGATTCTTTTTCCTTAGCTAATAGGCTGTCTTCATGGAGGAAGAATTTCTAGGTGATTCCACACCAGCAGCTGCAGTTGCACAAGCATGACTGCTTCCTTCATTTTAAAGTTTGGGGAGCCTTAGGAGGTATTTTAGTCCATTTTCTGTTGCTTATAACAGAATACCTGAAACTTGGTAGTTTATTAAACAAAAGGAATTTAGTTCTTACAGTTATGGAGACTGAGAAGTCCAAAGTCCAGGAGCTGTATCTGGTGAGGGCCTTCTTGCTGGTGGGGACTTGGCATAATCCCAAGGTGATGCAGGACATCACATCGTGAGGGGGCTGAGCATGGTAACATGCTAGCTCAAGTCTCTCTTCCTCTTGTAAAGCCACCAATTCCCTTCTGTTGATAACCCATTCATCTATTAATTGATGAATGGATTCATCAGTTTATGAGGGCAGAGCACTCATGACTCAACCACCTCTTAAAGGCCCCACCTCTCAAAACTGCCACATTGGGGATTAAATTTCAACATGAATTTTTTTGGAGGGACACGTATTCAATCCACAGCAAGGAGATATGATTTCCTGTTCCCAGGGGCTGCCTGGCTTTAAATGAGCAGCTTGTTACTGTCACCATCCATTTCCTCCTGGAGAAAGGCTTTTGTGGTCGGTCTGCATGGCATTCACGCCCTGGGTGGTCCATGAGGCCTCAGATGAAGTGGCCTGCTCTAGGCTCACAGAATAGCAGGGAATAGCAGTTGCAGGCTAGAAAAGGAAGGGCCAACCAGACATTCACAGAGATGCAGCCAGAGCAACACACAGCTGAGTCTCTTTAAGTCTTCAGTCCTGTGTAAGTTGAAGCAAGACATCAGAAATCTCTCACCTGAGTCATTCCACACATGCACCCACTGCTGTTCAACACAGCACTTGCTCAGCAGGGAACACATCTTAGCCGAGCGTGTTGGCAGCCCTTCTTCCGTGACCAGCGTCAGGGACGTCTCTAGGCACCTTTTCAAAATAGCTGGCAACATAGGGAGACCCCGTCTCTACAAAAAAAGAAAAAAAAATTAGCCAGGCGTGGTATAGTCCCAGCTACTCGGGAGGCTGAGACAGGAAGATTGCTTTAGCCCAGGAGGTCAAGGTTGTAGTGTACTCCAGTCTGGGCAGCAGAGTGGGACCCTGTCTCAAAAACAAACTAAGGAAGAATAGCCACTTGATTGATGATGAAGAAGGATGATGAGGAGGTCAACGCTGTAGTGTACTCCAGTCTGGGCAACAGAGTGGGACCCTGTCTGAAAAACAAACTAAGAAAGAATAGCCACTTGATTGATGATGATGAAGGATGATGAGGAGGTCAAGGCTGTAGTGTACTCCAGTCTGGGCAACAGAGTGGGACCCTGTCTCAAAAACAAACTAAGAAAGAATAGCCACTTGATTGATGATGATAAAGGATGATGGGGACTGTTCAGTTCAGATTTCTGTCCAGAGTTTTAACAAATCTTTTGCACTTCCTGTGGCAGTAACAATATTACCAGACAAGTAGCGTGTGTGGCAGATGAGAACAAGAACTAAGCAGATGCTGAGGGTGTGGTTAGGAACACACTTAGTAGGTTCTTCTTGTCCAGGGCTTTTGATCCATTCACTTGGGATACCTTAAGTATTATATTTAATTATAGTCTTCCAAGCAAAGAGCGATG